TTTAGAAAGTCTGCAATTCAAGAGAATTCTGTATTTCTTTCTGAAGCACAAAAGTCAAAATTACCAACTTGACTTCAAGAGAGAAGCAAGTTAAAAGAAAATTTTACATCAGAATTATATTTGTTACAGAACAAATATACTGCTGAGCAAGCGCCGCTTTCAACGAGTATCAATTTCAAGAACTTTTAGTCAAATTGAAAAACCGAGTTATTTGACCTTTACCAAATTGCAAGCAACAAAGTTACAAAGATAAGCAGAGCGATGCAACCAGCATAGCATTATCACTTAGACAGTATTAGAAGCTGGTAAAGAAACTACTAAATAATTGCAAGTTTAAATGATCAAGTGATTATCTGGTCCGAGAACAGACAAAGTGGTGGACAATAAAAATGTTGCAATAATCACAAGAAGAGCAATCCAGAAATAGTACTACAAAATATTCTGATTAAGTACTCAAAAGATCTTCTCAACAAAAAGCTCTTTACAGCTTCTAAATTACGGATTCTGTGGACAAGTTGTCGAAACCAGGAGCATTTATTTGCGTAACATTGCATTCAGAAAGCGAAAGTGAGTAGGACAACTGCTATATGCAGTAACAATACGAAAAGAGTGATTTGAAGAATTACTTTATTATCACTCATCGATTATTTTCGTTAAAAGCCTAACCAACTGAACTGAATGTCAGCTAAACTTGACTAAACGAGAAGAAGTAGATTATAGTGGATTAGGCGTTCTGCCAGTTTTTTCGGAATGTGACAGAGCTCTTAGAGTGGTATCTCAAACGGTTGTGCAATTTAGCTAGATGTCCAGTCAAACTCACCCTCGACGAAGAGGGTGTTTCGAAAGATTTGTTTCGGGCAATTGTTCACTACGAGAATTAAAGAACTGAATTCATTCATAAAATTCACAAAAGGAATTGTTTTTGTTGTTGTGCGGGTTTGTTTACACATTTAGCTTTATCTTACACCCAAAAAACGATTGATGCCTGCTAGTGGACTAAGAGTTCGAGGAAGAACTGACCCGTACAAGTCACTAGAATTCTACTACTTCCTTTCTTTACAAATGGATAAAAAACCCGTGCTCTTCTAAGCTCTTTAACGATGAATGGATCTGTTTAATTGGTGGCTACAGGCTGATCATGCTGTTAGATTTTGTATTTTCTTGCATCGCCTATCTTTGAACGGGCATGTTCCAACAATGCTCCAAGCGGTGCCGAGTTAAGAAACGGACAAGAATTCGTGGCACCATGAATAGTGTTTGATCTGTCTTCATTTACTTTTAAGTTTGTTTGCAATTTGATAAGTTGATTTTAGTCCCAGGTTGAGACTTATCCAACAGTTTAGATATTGAACGTTTATTTTCAATATTTATTTTAGTCTCTTGGATTTAGCTGTCCTACTCAGTTACCGGTGGCTAAAATGCTAACCGTAACTGAAGGAAGTTGTAACGTAACAGCAAACGCGTTTTACATGAGCCTCAGTACGAAATATGTTAGAAGAGTCCCTGATCTAGTAGAGTGAAAAGCGTCAAAACTTGATTTCTTACGAAGCACTTCTATTTTTCATGCAACAGACACTGAATTGATACAAAAATTTTTGTAACTCATTCTGTTACCAACGCATTACAAAAAATTTTACCTCAAGTTTTGCACAACTCTACCGCGGTTTTACCCACCGTTAATTGAGAAAAGAATTTTGAAAGAAACCACTAATATTTACAATAGGTCCTTTAGAAAATTTATGCATCAAAATCCCAGACGCTTTTTCGCACTGTTAACTGATTACCAAACGCATCATATTCAAATAGTCAGTATCTACTTTTTGGCCAACAATCGCGTTGTTATTGCTTGAACGCTCAATCCCATACACAGTAGTTTGTGAAATCATAACTCCCACTTGCTTCTCTGGTTTAGCCTTGTTTTAAATCCCTTAAACTTGAAGGCAGTCACATTATCATCCCGTCCAAACTAATTTTCTCATGAATCGATAAAAAATGATTTGCTTAGAACGAAACCATGTCACTCCGAGCATGTCACTTCAACTGTGTTTAAAAAGCTAAGAACAGTCTTCACCTACAACAAATTACTTGCAATCGGAAAAAACCGACACGGTACATTTAAGTCATGCAGGACATCACAGTTTGTTTCTTATAAATTTTTCACCATGAAGCTGTCACACAACAACGTTCGCTGTAATGGTTTATTGTGATGCTAGTAATTTCATACATTACAGCTCGTAAAAATTCAATGTCTATAAGAAAAAAATCGTATTTTTGTAACCAAGTAAAACGATAATTCTTCAGCAATACGTCATGGAAAGTACCGTATAAATAGAAATAATTACGCCAAATAGAAGGAATTAAATACGTAATAAAGCCAGGAAAGCTTGACCGGATCCTTAATATCCATGAGATTTAAAAGAATAAGAGAAACAAGTCGAACTCTTAAGAGATCATATCAAAAATACCAGTAAATAAAAGAATTAGGTGTGAGCGTTGTTTGAGAAATACGACTTTTAGCAGCAAAAATCCATATAAAAACAGGTTATATCGAGAAGACGAATTCTGCAAATCAGACACTTTGTAGTATACAGAAAATAGTAGTTTTGCTGAGGAAAAACTGCCGATAACAAAACAGTATTTTTCAAAAGCGACCAAAAAATGAGCGAAAACTCAAAAAAAACAACAACTTTCCTATAGTGTGAACCAATGAGTGTCATATTACCTCTTCCGTTCCTTCAAAAGCAGTGTTATAGTGAATTTTGTAAAGAGCTGAACAGAACGGTTTGAATGTCACAAATGCGTAATTACGTTCTATATAACTACGCGTTCCATTGTTTCAGATATTTCTTCGTCTGACGACGAGCTATAACTGTACCGTTTGAGACGATTTGAACGATTCATCAGTAACTCTCGAGTCACCTTTAAATAAAACCTTATAACGATAGAAGATTCATTACCAAAAAAACCAAAAGACATCCACTGCACCTACTTCTTTTACCTTTAAAAAAGTACAAATGTTGTAACTTCTAAACGTTTCTCATTTTCGTCATTTTGCAATATTCAATGATATTTATGCCTAAAACAAAAACATACTGCCTCTACAAATTTTTTACGACCAGCTTTAGAAGCGTGATCAAACTGTTGGACGAATGATGGTGCTTTCGCTGCGACAGGAAGCTTTTGAATACTTGGAAGACGAACCCGAGAAATCTAAATTGAATTTTCATGCATATCAATAATCAAAAGTTGACTAATGACCTTTCTTTTACTAAAGTAGCACCCCGATATGGCAGTGCAGCGAAAAATTGCAAAAGAAAAAGTGTTATCATTTGAGCACCTTTATATAATAACTGACATCTAGAATTACCAAGCAGATTAGCGATTCTGAACATCGGCAATATCACTCTTCTGGGGACAACCAAGGGTGCCAGAAGGCCGATGGAGATTTAAGATGACCATTGCAAAACCTGAGTCCTAAGGTTATTGCTGTGAATTGTAGTGATTTCATTATAAAGTCTTTGAAAGAGCAACAGGTGAAATCCCTAAAGCCATTCTACTTTTCCATATAAAAACTTTGCTATTAAAAATTTCTTGGCTTCCCTAATAATAAGATTGAAAGCGAGTGTAGAAGAGGGAAATGACATTTAGGATGTGAAATTCAGCGGGCAATGATGAACCAAAAAAAGGTTGAGACTCGCTAATCTAGACAACACCAAAACACGATTTATTGCTGTTGTGTCAAGAATCGCGCAGAACTGTTTCATACCACCATTAGATACCAGAAACGCTACCGCTTTTTTGGTGAGTGAGGAATGAGGATTGATCTTTTTACAAATTACAACGCAGGAAAAACTTCCTCGTAAATTTACATGGTTACAAGAAAGGCTGGTCTTCTATACAATCGTAAATAATTAGTGTTTAATTGTTGAAGGGCTAGCATCATTTAATGTTTGCTCGATCACAAATCCTGTTCAAAATCCGCCTAAGAAAACCAACTGTAGTCAATTTACTAACCTTTTTTCAAAATGACAAATAGTCTACACCATAAATTAACGAAGAAAATGAAGTTTAGCGAATGAAACAGATTTGCGCAAGTGGCTAATACTTAGTAAAAGAATATGATATCAAACTGACAAAAATTGTGGAATTTACATTGAATACAAAACAATTGATTGCAACCTTAACTACATATCAGCAACCCTTGCATCCAAGCACTTCTTTTTCAGTCGCAAAGCAGCAGCCTCCCAAAGTTCTGTACAGAGAATGAGTAGTAGTATAGAAAAATGCGTTTAAAAAAAACGGGTTTTTTTCAAGTTACTTAAGTAGTTTCCTCAAAGTTGGATACCCAATTTTTTGCAGCACACTACTTCAGGGAAACCTTACTTTAAAAGAAAACGGAGTTTTTTCACACTTAGAGTTGCCAGATTTATCCGAAGAATCGTTTACAAAAGCAGTAGTTCCAGGTCTCGATGTTACAGCATCCCTGGCTTCATCTATCACACTTGACATGGTGTTAAAATCTCTAGAATGTTTTCGAATCAACTAAGTCTTTACCGATCCCTTTCCTGCAATCAAACCACAGCATAAATCACCGTAATTATCATTAAAACGTCTCAATTTTGACGTGACTTCCTCTAGTCCAAACATTGCCACATTTGTCAGATACATAAATTAAGTTCATCAGGACTCAAATTACACTCGTTCGTTGTTTATAAATTAGTGGCCACTTGCAACAAAGAATACGAAATTCTTCAGACGTACATTTGTATACACCTGGACAACTAATTAACCGTTATCATCAACTGTGCCAATGTATCAAAAAATTATAATTATGCAACGAATTAACATTTTTAAAAATACCGCAGCGTAAAGACAAATGCACGAAGAACAACTCATTAGACTAAAAAGCAAAGAAAAGTGGTCACAATAGTTTACCTTAATTGAAAATAAGGTGCTAGAAATCCTAAAAAATAGTTTTTTATAAACGCTTTTTCTTTTTTTTCTCTCTGCTTGCTATATGTCTGCCGTGCCTACTGACTGAAAGTAAACCACGACGACTTCTTTTTAAAACCTGAGCAACACACAAAGTAGGAATTCTAAACGTCATAACTGAAAGATAATAAAATAAAAACTTTCAAATTTCTCTCAATACGTTCAACAAAATACCACTTATAATCTGCAAATCAGCTAATATTCTGAAGCAATTAAAGACGAGGAGACAGAGGAAGAATATGAGTTTTTTTCTAAAATTTTATAATTAAAAGAAACGATTATATTGAGAATCAAAAATGCAGTGAAATCGAAAGTCTGATATTTCAAATTCTTAGCAAATGAAGAAGTTTTTTCAACTATTAAAAAATTCTGTTAAAGAGGTGAGCTGAAGAGGTGCTACGTAGGAAGTGAATGCTATTGCCATAGCCAATAGACGTCGTTTGACCTCCACGCTCCGAAAAAAGTCTAATTTCCTAATTTCTTTGACAGTACTAAAAAATTTACAAAAGAAGAGGAGCATATTTACTGGTATTCAAACAATATTTTGTAATCAGTTACAGGTATTCAGTTAATTTAACATCACTTATTAATAAAACTATTTGTAAAGCCATTTATCAAGTCACAGTAACTATCAGCAATTTAAAAATAAAAAACAAAAGTTTTGGCTTACACACTTTAAAACAACTGCGTCAGTATAGTATTTTCAGAAAGAAAAGGAGACATAAATGCTGAAACCGAAATGTATCTGTGAAACGAAAGTGACAGAAATGAAATGGCCTAATAATTTTGATGCTTGTTTCCCAGTCAAATATATATTTCTAAAACTTGATGGAAATAAGAACTGCACTGAAAAAAAAGAGAAGCATAATTATCTGACACTCATAAAAGTATCAATAAAGTTTCTTTTTGTGGCGAAACACCGCTAAGTGAAAAAAAAAAAGAAAAATTAGTGCCAATAACAAGAATAGTGAGCTTAGCGCAATGTTCCATTAAAAGATTACCTGTTTAACAAAATAGTGAAGAAAAAAAAAATACGGGAGAAGAAGAGAGGACAGCTAAGGGGTCAACCTCTTTGGTCTACCCGGATCACCAGCAGACTATAAGAACACTACATTCTTTACATGTACTATTGGCAAATGTTTTTTTGACCCTGTTGATCTTTGTACTGAACAGTCTTTAAGCTCAGTAATTATTTATTAATTGAAATAAAAAAAACAGTGTGTCTAAAACACTGCAGAGAACAAATATATCCCAGTGGAAATTACGTAAACTATGAAAGAAAGAATTTTTTTCTCAAATTTAGATGAATAATTAGGCGAAATAATGAATTTCGGAGTATATATGGTCAAAATAAGTCAGTAACGTACTGTTTCCAAAAAAAAGCATCAAATGATCCAAATATAACAAAATCGCTACAGAAATGAATGCTTGAAGACGCGACGTTGGAGTGGACATTGCTATAAACTGTGTTTTCCTTTCCACTCTTCTATCTTCAACTGTATAGAAAACCACGTACCGGTACTTTTCGCTTTTTTTGTTATTAGTAACGCGGGGCCGTGTTATTTTTGAGGAAGAATGCCTTTTTCTTGCTTTTTGAAGAGTGAATTTTTCTCTTTGTTTTAAATTAATCTGAGGTCTTAAAAAAACACTGGAATTTTACATGCCTTGATCTTTTGCTATTTCTGCTGCCGATGGTGTTACAGAAGCAGACGACCCAAAACAGCACGATAATATCAAAATAAAGATTGCTTCCTGATTAGAAACAAAATGTTATTTATAATGCTTTTACTTCACAAAGTAATCATTAACACAGTTTTGTCAGAAGCGTTTTTGGAAAAAGGATGAAGTGTCATGAAAGCCGAGGTAAAAAACTGTCTGACATAATGGAAGAAGAACAAAAGAATTTTTATCAAGTAGGTCCCCTTGTTATCAGAAATTAACAGTGAACTACTAAAATGCTAGTAGCATTTATTTTATGATATAAGTAAAAGTTCTTTTATCAACAAAGTGTTACTAAGGCTGAAACAGTTTTTGTGTGAAATGAATTGAGGATGTAGCGTACAGAAAACTGCAGTCTGATCAGATGCCGAATCATTATGAAACAGCCGATCGGCCTTGAATCATCTTGATGATCACACTTATTATTGCGCTTGCAGTTACACCACTAACGATATCTAAATATCCCTTTTAATTTTACAATTTTTTTGGCACATTTACACTACAGCCCTAGCACAAAAATGTTGCAAGCAATGACAGTTATGGTCTTCGGGAAAAGCAAAGCTGTAATCCCACACGTAACGCTAATTACCCGGAAGCAATTTCGTTACCCAAAGCTCTATCAAGTTTTTTCTCCTTTTTTAGCATATAAATGTCGAAATATTTCAGTGACTTAGAGGGATAGAAAATTCGTACAATTAACTAAAAACAGTCCACGTCAGTTACGAAGAAAATTTAGATGTCCCAGAGAATTTCAAAACCCAGAACAGTGCCGCAGCTTTCCAGTCAAAGCATATACCACACAAAACTCTGCATATTTGTCTAATCAATCATATTGAGGAAATTCTCATGCGTCTAATAACTTTGAGATACACTGATTTTTGCTTCCTATAATCTCATCCCTTCCGTTTGATTTTCTCGACCATGAAAATTAATTGTTCACAGATAGCGTGGAACTGCAAAATGATAAACCAAGGAGGACTTACTGCGATCATTTCACTCCTCTTCTTTCCCTGCCCTCTCCCTTCCGTCCCCTCCCTTTAATTTCTGTTTTTGAACCACATAGTTCCAAAACACGTAAGATCATAAACAGCAAAAAAACTCGAGAAACTGTCGTCCTCCAGCAACATTGTTTCGGTAGCAGCGCTTAAGTGTGCCACGCTGAGAAGCGCATTGACGGCTTCATGTCGGATGATACACTCTTTTGACTAATAATCTAAAACTTTCGAATTGACTAGTAGACCTTGGCTTTTGATTATAAAATCATAAAAAAATACCATGAAAAATGCACTCCTAGGAGCGTCAGGCTGTGCAAAATGGTAATAAGCAACTGCTTCGCTTTTGTTAATTCTAAAAAACAAAAGCTATTTCAAAATAACACTGAAATAAATCAGAGTTCTCACAACAGGCGAAAAATTTCAGAACATGCTGAAATCTAAGTTAGAAACTTCATTTCAACTGCACCCTAAAACCTTTTATTTAGCATGGCGACCGAATTAAATGCTCACCTATTGCTGATGTCCAATTTTCCTTTCCTTCCATTAAAGATTACCGTATATTTTCCTTCATTTCTCACAACCATAAACTTTGTTTTCATCCTAGTTTTTTATAGATTTCGCTGATGCAAACAAAAGAATACTTACTTACTAGGGAAAATGACTCATCAGACAACAAAACAGCATGAACGTTCACCGTGAAAGAGTGAAACACCTCATCTTTCAATGAGAAAAAAAAACAGACCGCCGCAACTGCCCGCAAACTTTTTAATCGTAGCTACTTTTTAATCGTAGATCACAGCTACGCTACGGCACCTACAAGGATCCTTTTGTCTACACTTATACACTGCAGGCAATAGCAAATGCCATCGTTTATGGCATTATTTTAAGGAGAGCATAGTTTCCGGTGGATACCAGATGGTAACTTTGTCTAGCGCTCTAACTTATATAATAATTCTTTAGTAGTTTGGAATCCCCAAATATCACAACTAAGCGAGTATTGCAGAAACGACGATGCAGGTAGATGGATAAAGGTTACCGAGCAAACAATCCACTGACCTACACAATATTGCTGTATCGAAATCAATTTATAATGAAAAGGAACAAAGAGCAGACAGGCGCTTAGTGACCCTGAAGAAATATAGAGTAATCACTAGCACAAACGAAAAAAAAATAACTTTAAACAAACTGAAATCCAAGAAATTGAGAAGCGATAAAAATAAACGTTGAAGTTGAGATTTTAACAAAGAACAACTGTAAAGGAAGAACAAAGAAATCGAAATTTCCACAGTTGCGGAAAGGCACAAAAAGAAAAGATAATGAATTATCACTAGCTTTAAATGTTGTTTCAATAAGACTCATCTCCTCGTGTTTACCTTGCTCTTTCATATTCTCGATTCGGCAGTGATCACCCACTATGGCCTCCAAGAGCGTCCACCTCAGGATCATGTCTAGTTCCTGTACCGTCCTCAGTCCTCGAGACCATTGCGAATACTGACGTGACATAATAAGGTCCCACTTCAACGCAAACTTTCAATTAAGTAGCTCGTGTCAGAGCTCAAAAAGCAACCTGAATACCAAAAAAAAGAAGCTCGTTCGATATGCGTGAAAGATTCTCTGATGCTTAAAAACGCTGTCCAGCAAAAAATGCCAAAACTTCTTTCCAAATGTTGTTGGAAACGATATTAGTTAGATTAGCTTTACAACCAACAAGCTGATAGTGAGCTAAAACGAGCAAAAGAGTGAAGACTTTGGACCCAACCTATCTTCTAGCGTATTTCCTATGCCAATTTCTGAAACCGGTGCTTCTTATAAGCAAGTTGCCATATACTCACTGCTACCGAACCACATCGTGCTCTTCTTTCAATAGCATATAACAACCCCTCCTCAAATTCAACTTTACGTAAGATATTATACTGCGTTCCCCCAAATAACAGAGAAGAAAACTCGGACACCACTGTCATATAAAAAAACATGA